CACATAATCAAGAGGAATTCTAGATGCTACATACAAACAAAGACCTAGCCAGAATTTGAAACTATAATACATATAGCCTTCGATTCAAAACTCAAAACCAATATGTATAAAGAGAGAGTGTTTTGTTGGCCTGGAATTGGACCAACTTGATGAAGATTTTTTGGCTGTCCATCAAGCTTGCTCTTGTTGGCCAAGAGCTCTAATCGAATCTTATAAAGAGACTGCAAAACAAAAAAAACAACAGGACACATAACTACAACACATGGATACGAATTCATTCAACAAGGATAGTGAGACAAATAATCACTGGTAAAATGTCAAATAACTACAATCCAAGAGATACAAATTCATTCAACACATTCCTATAAAGTCGGAAAAAAAAACCGTAGATCAGAACATGATACTCAGATCTATAAAAATGAGAGATTCCTATACATAATCTGGAAAAAAAAATAGGCGAGGATGTAAGAGAGATACGAAGAGCTATAGACGAGTTTACCCGACGGCGTGTGAAGAAGCGGGAAAATGAGGAAGACGACGCCATGGGACTTCAGCGACGACGTCCACGGTGTTGAGTTGTGTAGGTTTACTGGTGAACGGAGCGGCAGAATGAACAAGGGGACGAAAAGAAGGGAATCAATAACGCCAATTTTGAAGGTGGTGAAGAAAGAGCCGAAGCAAAATCCAGATCTCAAGCCAGGGCTAAAAAAAAAATTAGATCTTTTTTTCTTAAAGAATTTAATTTTTTTCTATATGGGCTTTGTACGATAGAACCACTTGCCACCTCTCTGAGACGGCCCTGTCTCAAAGAATTCTCGACTTGGTGAAGAGAAATCGCAAAACCCCAAAACTTTAGGGATTTTGTTTGTTGATGAGAGATGGTCATGCTGAATCTCACGGTTCATATCGATCGTTGATTATAATCTAACGGTTTGTAATATCACTTACTTAAAGGTATGTCATCCATGGATCGATGACATGGCATTTTTTTGTAAAAATATATATTAATGTGTAGTAATAATTTGATACACAAGTACGCGAAACAAACAAATTTCACATAATTTGTGGCAAAAATTGCATAGATTTTTGAGAAATTTCAAAACATACCATTTTTCAAGTAACACTTTACAAAAATACCATATTTTTGAAATCTTTACAAAAATACCACTTTTCAAAATTATTTTTTTTTATATTATTTATGTTTGGGTTAATTATGTTCTATTAGGGTTTAGTTTGAGTGTTTAGGGGGTTTTAGGTGTCAAAACATTTTTTAGGGTTTAGAATTTTAAGATACAGACTTTATAAATCTATAATTAGTGGCATTTTTATAAATGGACATCCATAAGTGGCATTCTTGCAAATATGCACACAAAAAATGACATTTTTGTAATTGCCCATAGATTTTTGGTTAAACTATTTAACAGTCAAAAAAGATTTTATGATATACATCTATGATTTAAAATTTAGAAGTTATGAACTCATTAAACTTAGTTCGACTTTTTTACAATTAGTGTTGGATTTTGGGTTTTGAG